TTGAATTACTGGTAGTCTCGAAACCCTACTTACTTACGAATATTAGTTAATGTTGGTCTGACATCGTTTTCGCAATTTATTCGGAGCAACAAGAAGATCTTGTGGAACATGTTAAGTTCAGCGACCTCTTCTATAGTATTCGGGATTTCCAACATCGGACCGTTGGCTTGATATATTAACAGACGTTTCGCTGGCATCGTAGTCGGCATCTTTAGTGAGAGGCTCCATCGTTAGCAAGGAGTTGCAATTATCACTTGTTACTTTGATAAGTTGTAATCCAGTGCCAACGATGGCTCCTTTCACAATTAAATGAGACTGCGGCTAAACAGAAGGCCACTCCATCCCGATCTTCATAACCGGCTAGGTCTTCATATCAAATAAAAACCAAAATACTCTTTTGCGGGACAAATGGTGGTTCTAGCCTTGTTGAATGAAAGGGAATATAACATTTTGTGTCAAACTTCACCTCAAAATGGCTAGGGTGCTGATTGGGAATTTGGGCAAAGTTGAAGGTTTAGTACTACTCAGATGAGAATGGGTTTTGCAGATGCCCTGTGCAGTGAATTTAAAGCAAAGAGCAAGCTTTTTCTCCACTTCGCCATTCAGTCCAATAAAAGAACCTATCGTAAATGGTACATCCCTAAGACATTCTAACCTTTGATAGTTGCTTGCCATACACATTTTACTCCTGCGAAGAATACAATAACTAGTTTTTAATCTTTACATATATTTTATTTACTGCTATTCGACAAAATTCCTGTCATGTTCTCTAGTATTCTAACTGATGTCCACAAATAATCTGACTTATAAATTATTATTTATTCTTTTTAGCTTTCAAGCCTTTTGCCAAATGATATCAGGCGAGATAAAGTTCGCTTTCAACTAAGATCAGAACGAAATCTTTCAGCTTTCGCTTTGTACCCTCTTTCAAAGAGGCCTTTGACCCGAGTTGATGAGATCAGTGGTCTAGTCTTCCTCACTCAAGAACTCGATTATGAGAGAGTCTTGTCTGGACCTTCAAACTTCATCTTTTCAGCCATCTATTTCGCCAGCATCCCTGCCACCAAGGCCAGTCTTGAAACTGGTTTCTCCTGGAATATTGGAGAGTTTCAACTCGATTTCCATTTGCACGATGTCAATGATAACTCTCCTGTCTGCCACGGTCTAAGAATCTTTTCGGAGAAGAAAGAAAGTTCGGAACCCGGAACTACAAAGCATGAAGTAGAGTCGTTTGAAGTTTATCTAAAGGTACGAAAAATGATAATATTTCTTATTATTTTTAAGCATGCTTAGAATAGTACTCAATGGTAGCATCAATATTTGGGGATTTTGATTCAGGTATATAATTAAAATATCTTTGATTATCTTCTGATATTTCTAATGACTTCATTTGTTTTATTGGATCCTTTGAGGCTCTTATTTGTTTTTCGCTTTCTTGTAGTCAGGTATAGACACTAAACGAATTTTTTGCAAGTCTTTACTTAGCCCAAGCAGCTTGATGATCGGGTTTGCCTTACTAGCATAAATACGAACGCACTTTTAGGACGCAAGTAACGATGAAGTTCTAGTACAGAAGCAGTATTGACTCTGATCCACTGTAAATGGAATAAAATCAACTTCCGAAAAGTCAAGTGACTTTTGAGACTTGTCTATGAGCATATTCACTTCGATTTTGGACAATATTTAGTTTTCATAACTATGAAAATGAATTTGAAGGTGAAAATTATGGAATCTGAAATTCTTGAAAGCCGGAGTTGAACCATTTATGTGAATTGGTAGAAAGCAAATAGACGGTTTTCATAGCAGTAAGCTGTACAAAATGTTTTCTTTCTTTATGATGGCAAGGTGCATCAGCGAAGAATATTTGGCCTTCTTTGAAATTCACATCTGCTCTTTGATCCAAGAGCACTCATGGCAACGTGGAATAGTGATT